ACGACCGTCGTCTCCTACAACGTGTAACCTAGAACCTTAAAAACGACAACGTTCGAGCTTATTCTACAGGAACGAACCTATCCTCTTCCTTTCCTCTTATCATTTCCCATTATCCTCCGTTCCACACCTAGGAGTTTTACGTTAGCGTATATCAAAAGGGCTATGTACAAAAAGGGGGTCGGCCGAAAGTGGACGAGACGATTCCTCGAGAACGAAGCGTCCACGAGTGTGGCGTAAGTTTCACCGATCGAGGAACGATTCTTCGTCTGGCCTCGGGCTTAGGAACTATACTTACTGCTACGCGATACTGTTCAGTGGATTTCGTGTTATTTTTTCTTTTTTTTTTTCCTTTTTCTTTTTTTCGCGTTCGTGTTCGCGCCGACAGATCGAGGCTTCACCTCGATGCGTTAACTTCGAAGTGTCGACGCTCGGCCTGCAGACGGATCCGGATCGGTGCAATCGATCTCTTAGTTTTCTTGCGTTCGAACTTCTTCGAAGAGAAGACACTCTCGTCGACGTCTCGCTTCTTCGAACAGCTTCTCGTTACTTCGACGTGCATTGTAACGACGTCACGCGACGTGCGCCATATCCACAGTCGATTGAGATTCAACTCGATTGATTCTCAATTCGATTCGATTCGATTCAAAGAAGTCGTATAAATACACGCGTGATATTGTTTTCTTTTTTTTTTTCTTTTTTTTCTTTTCTTCTTTTTTTTCATTAAGCGAAGATTGTGACAGAGCGTTCGATGTAAATGGTTAGAAGGAATGAGGTTTCAGAGAACGAAAAGTTAAAGACTGTTCGAGACGATTGCACTGATCGGTATTAATGTACCTAAACGATGTCTTTAAACAGCGCGAGATCCATTCTTCTTCTCTCTTTCTCTTTCTCTCGTTCGTCGATCGCGAGCAAATCGCTGCATTGTGGATTTCCTTCTTCCTCTTATGCGTCTCGTCATCGTGCAGCTCTTTCGTTCACGATTTGGATGTTCTCTTTTCTCTCTCTCTCTCTCTCTCTCTCTCTCTCTCTTTTGTTATTATTTTCTTGCTGGGTGTTATTTTCTTAAACTGATTTCGCAGGAGAGACTCGCGGATGATTAATTAGTTTGGAACGAAGTTTAGAAGAGTGCGTCTCTGCCTCAATATCGCTCCCATTCGACGCGTTGCATGGTTGCTCTTTTTCACTGGGCGTTCAGTTCGGACCTGCCGGAATTAGAAATAAGAGAAAGGGAGCGTCATTCAATGCGATTGAGAACTGTGCGTTAATTGATTTAATTGTCGAGCAAACGGGTAATATACAATAGTTAGAAGTGGAACACTTGGAATGGAACATTTCAAGAAGCTCGATGAAATTTTGATTCGAGATTATACGATTGCACATTGTCATTGTACATGAGTTTTAATTTCTAGGAAATTTAAGAAACATTGATTCCGATGTCCTTCGATCGGAGGAGATTGCACAATGCATATTGTCATTACATAAATTTTTAACTTATGTAAAAAGTAGTTACAAAACGGAATAAACTGAACGAAACTTTGATCCCGATGTTCTTCGATTTGAGGAGATCGTACGATCGCATACGTTGTTATTTAATATAAATTTTAACTCGCAGACTTCAAGGACAATTCGTGGAAATTGGGCGCGCGTGGTTCAACAGATTTCATTTCTATTTAAGTTCCATTCCTTAAAGTGACAAAATTACAAATGTAAAAAGAGATTGCTCCCCTTTGAGTTTACATTAATTGCTCGACGTCGCGTAGGAGTTTTAAAGTTTGAAAAAATTTGATTGAACGTCGACGATTAAAATTACTTACTTCAATGCCTTGTAACGTTCTTTCTCCGGATTGTTGTCGGGTGGTTCGCACTCGAAGGACGCCAAAGCTAAAGCTACGTTACGAAAGGGAAAGAAATTGCAGTGATTAATATTAACGAAGCTCGGAAGACCTTGAGAGTATAAAATATTTTTCAACGTCCAAAGAACTAATGGAAGCTCTTCTCATCAATTAAAAACTAATCTGCGAGCATAAAGGTTGCATTAATTTTCAAACGAAATAACGTGAAACATCTGAATAATTCCATCCGAGGGATATTTTATTCTCGCAATTTCGCTTGTAATTCTCTTACAAACGACGACGGAATTTTACTTCGGGTCAGTTCTTCGGAGTAAAAAAAATCTCTATTTTTAAACATCGTAGGTGGGGTATCCTACCAATTTAATTTAAAAGCAACTTAACGTCTCCTGCCTAATTGCTGCCTAATTACTTTTGTCCCGTGTTATCGTTCCGATTCATTAATTCCCTTCTTATTCGGAAATCGAATAAAAACCGATTGAAAAGTTTTACCGTTTTCAGTCAGCACCGGGCTCGCCTGAAGGAAAGCAATGACACGCGGATTCTTCTCGAACGGGCAGGCAACTTGTTTCCACGCGATGAATTCCGTCACCTGTTTCGCCAGCTGCCAGAACTTCTCGAAATTGATGTGCCCATTCGGTAATCTGAAACAGTGTTGTTTTGTGGTTGGATTAGTACGCAAATCGATATAAAAAAAAAATACGAATTTGGTAGGATCAACTGTCACTAAAGCATCAGAGGAATGAAATATTTACGATACTATAAGGATCGTAAACTTCATTCGCTGTAAATTTATCAAATTTTATTCGAATCACTCTGATTTTAGTTCCAGTGTTAACAATTCTTTTAACGACCAGTTGCAAGAGCACTCAGATCCTATTTTAGTGGCAAATATTATCTTCGAAATTGATCTTCAGATTTTAATGTTAACTTTCGACGTGACAGTTTGTTTTTTGTACATAGGGTGAATCACTTGATTATCTCTTGTTCTCTTTTATATCTCCATTGTTTTTGAAATATTGCTGACAAATATTGTTTAATACACGCGTGACAATTGTTTTACATACACAGATTAATAGTTTTCTTTCATGGAGCCGCTGCATCGATCGATGGAACAAAAAAATATATCATTTCATCGGAAAAAATTGGTAAATCTTACACCTCTCCATCTACAAGAAAATTATTACAACTATACTACACTGCGCAACTTTTGTTGACGAAACTTTTTCATATTTTCAAAAACGACATATTCAGGGTTGATTCATCCTGTACACCGTGAATGAAGATAAAATCATACAGAAAATTTTTGTTGCAAAGAAGAGGCTTCAATCTTCAAATGCATTGTCGATTCGGTGA